AGACAGGGCTTTAGATTAAGCCAGCCTTAGTTAAATTAGAAGCTTGTATAAACATGCCTTATAAAAAATATATATATAAAAAAACCTTACTGGGGTGCATCTTGAGACAAAACACTGACATGTTATAAGATATGTCAGTGCAAGTTCTTTCAGTTAAAACAGCTCAAACATTTTAATCTAGGACTACGCTTAAACCTTGTCTGTGAAATGGGGCAGCAGTGTTTTAATGGCATGGTCATTGTTTAAATGGAGGGACATTGTCTCATTAATTAAAAAGGTACAGATTGGTATAGAAATCAACAATTAGTAAATAAACCAGACTGACAGATTTCTGTGTGATTTTAAATAAAGACAACTATAAAGCACTGGGAAAAATACATTTTTGTGGTTGCCAAAGTTAAAATTAAAATGAAATTCTCTTTTGTGTGTGTGTGTGTGTGTGTGTGTGTGTGTTTTGTCTTTCACACACATATCCTGGGCTTTGAGTGTGAAATCACCCCGCTGTGCGGATCTAGGGAGAGTGATGCACACTAACGCAAGAAAATCTTGTTGTTATGGGTTTAGACAAGAAAAGCAAGGGCATTGGAAGGCAATATGAATCTGACCGAAGATGTGTCAGAGTGCCTGCTAGGTGGTGTGCCCACTGTTGAAAGCTTCCTGTATGGAGAAGGTCAGGGAATTATCATGGGTTTATAGCAGTAGCTTGACTGCAATGATAGAAGTTGGTCACTGATATTGTTTAGAATACAGGCGTAGCAATATATTTGCATTGAAATCAGGGGTTTGGTAAGATTAGGTCACCGATTTGTGTTTTTGTTTTTGTTTATGATGTCCATTTTCTGTTCTTCAAGAGGAAAGCAGCTCATGTTTTCTTACATGGCTAATCTCTCTTTGAGCAGTGAAGTCTAGTAATTTAGCATCAGTAATTGGATGTTTATCCTGTAGAAAAGAGAGGATACATTACCCTGGGGCTTGCTGGAAATAAAGAGGTTGGAAATGGCAGCATGCATTTGACAGAAATGCATTCCTCCCCATTGAGAGCCAGAAGACTTTACTCAAAAATGGTAGATTTGCCTTGCAAATGAGTGTGCCTTCCCTCTGGACTCAAGTTAGTTTAGAGCCACTGTCCAGGATCTACTATTCTATAACCACTCAAAAATTCTGGATGTCCAATGCTTCAAAATCTTTTTACAGTATAAAGAAGGCCTGCAAGTCTAACACTTTTTAATCGGGATGGTCAGTCAGTATTTTCAAGGAAGATACAAAAGCAAAAGCAATTAGTCAAAAGCAATTAGTCTTTAATTGGACAGAGTTATTGGACTGTTGTTGATCATATATGGAGTGACAAAAAATTTTTTTAGGCAACCCTCATTACCCACCATTCTAATTTCTCCTGAATTAATTAGTGTCCTTGGACACTGCATGTCATGTGTATGTCCAACTGGCTTAATACAGCTCTATGTCCTGCCAGTTGTTTTTATAAATATAATTTTATCCTGTTGTCTGGAGCCATTGGTCTTTTTCAGAGAAAACAGTAATGTTTGGTTGTTATTGAGATGAGAATAGTTATTAATGAAAGAAACATATTGATGATGATGATGATAAATTATTGTTGTGGCTGGTAATAATGTCTTCAAAATGAAAAGGAAACGGAACAGGAAACAAGTATAATATAGTGAGAAAGTACTGGTGGAAATTCAGCCATCATAACATTACATTCTTACACATGAGTCATGCTGTATAATTTGAGAGTCTGGTGAATTATAGCCTTGCTTAGTGTGTTTGCTCAGCTTGAATACTATTGTCGTTTTAATGCCATGATCTCAGCACACATACGCACACTCGCCGTGGAAGTGACTTTTCCTAATGTATGAATGAAGTTTGCAGGTCTCAGATTCCCAGCCTAAAATCCTCTAAATGAGTGTGACACTGCTCATATTCAGATAAGGAATTCAGTCTGAGTATTTTTCACTGTCTGTTTCCTGTCTCAGGATAAGGGAGGATAAATCCACATACTGGGGATTATATGTTGTCTTTGACCTGCTTCTGAATCTTCACTTTGAAGTGATGAAACAGTTTGAAAAGGGTTGTGGAGAAAAGAGAGGATTTACCTTGCACCTCTGTAAGGGCATGTTTTGATCTAAATGTCTTTGTATGAAATCCTTGTGAAAAATAATTCTCACAATCCTATTGATTTTGCTCTTTTCGAATGAGCTCTCAGGGGTTTCCAGTAATGATGTCTGATCAAATGTAATGATAACTGTGAATAAATAATGGCAATGGCCCAAAGTTGTTTTGCTTCAAGTCAGTCAGTTTGGTTTCTTTAACACAGGAAACCTATTAATTATAAGAGTTTCAGTTTGAATCTGTGGTTCCCTGCAGTTGATGTAGACAAAATGCCTCTGACCTTGTCTATGAATTGTGTGCCCTTCAGATAACATCCTCAGGTGTGCTGAAAGATGGCACCTCTACTTCCCACACTCCTGACCTGCATCAGCTTTACACCAGTTGTGTATGAATTTACCAAGTACAAAACACGTTGCAGTATATCCATTTAATAGCAATATACAGGCTTTCAGAATTTGTAATCAAAAAGTGTTGGGATATCACTCATTGTCATGTAATATAAACTATGTGACCTTGCGAATGGTTATTTCAATATTTTCAATCCTCTGCTCTCCACATTTGGTATGTGTCTCTTATCTGACAAATTAAGTTCAGTTCATAGAGCTCTCGCCTAACAAGCTGATGATCTGAATCAGGTGTGGTAAATAAGGGAGACATACAAAATGTGCAGAGCTGTGGGTCCCAGGACCAGGATTGAAAACCACTGCAAGAACAGATGACATAAATAGGGCAAAACCTGATGCATGACAAAGCATATGTTGTAAGCAGTTGTTAGCGTGTGACCATATGTCCTGTAGCTGACAAATACTGCTGGAATGAGGAAGAGGAAAATCCCTGTAATTGCTACTTTAAAGTGAAATGCAGGTCTTAATTGTAGCTTGACTAATAATAGTTAATGACCAGAAATAACAAATAGAGTCAAATAAACAAAAAACACTGTGTTCACAAGAAGCATTTTGAGAAGGTGGAGTGTTTTCTATGTGCATCCTGTTTTCTTTCCTACTTCCTTCCTTTTACACCTCCTTTTAAATTTTTTTGAGACTGAATATAGACATAGACTGATTTCTGTTATTGAATTCTTAACATCTGGAAAAACCATGCATTGTAAATTCAAACCATGCATTGCAAATATGTGTATAGAAAATAGCACGCACAGAGATTCCTTTTCATTTTTATTGCATTTTATTTTAATAATTTGTGTCAGGTCAATACACATTAGGCACATGCTTTTTTTTCTTTTTTTCCCTCGCATTTAGCATTACGCTTTCTATTCAAAACATCAAACCTCTTGCTGCTGATTAGAGAATAAAGGAGATGAAAGGGCAAATGCATTTGCAAAAAATGCAAAAGCATGAACACATATGCCGTTGATTAGACAACTCAAACGTGTCAAGCTTCGGGTCATTATGCTGTGTGAATGTGTGTTTGTCAATTTATGCAAATGTGACAGGTTCACACCAACCATATGGCTGTCAACTTAGAGACATACAAAAAATGCTAACCACCACTAAGTAAAACTGAAAAAGGGGTGTAGCAAAAAAGATTGCTTGAGGTCCATACATTTCACACGAAAAAAGTTAATTAGGGGGCTGTTTACAAACAAGTAATTTGGTTTCAGTAAGTATTTACATTTTTTATTATATTATATTGACTTGTATTTATTTTCATGTTGCAAATTGAACTGAATTTAAAGATATAGTTCACCTACACCCTAAACATCATTAGTCATGACATGGAAAAAAACAAACAAGCAAAATCAAAAACAAAACAAACACTGGCACATTTTCCAAGAAACTTTGTGTATGTGTGTGTGTGTCTCTGTGTGTGTGTGTTTCACAAAGCGAAAGAAAGTCTTATCGGTTTGGAATGACATGAGGGTAAATAACAGAATTTTCATTTTTGGATGAACTAACCCTTTAAGAAAATATTATTGCTAAAATATTTTGTTTTAATTATTTTCATAAACACAGTAAGTTTCATAAACACTATGGCCTGGTTTCACAGACAGGGCTTAGATTAAGACATGATTAGGTCTTAGTTCAACTAGGACATTTAAGTAGCTTTTATAAATGTGCCTTAGGGAGAAAATAAATAAATAAATAAAACATAATTTACTGGTGTGCATCTTGAGAAAGCACAATGTTTTATCTTAAATATCCTGAAATATGCCAGTGCAAGTTGCTTTCAGTTAAGACAAACATTCATTTTAGCCCTATAGCTCTGTGAAACCGGGCATTCATCCATGTTGTGTATTACAAGAGTTGGTCTACCTTTTTGTAAATAATTGCTTACGTTGTGTTTTGTCATATCTGAGAATGTGCTTCATGTGGTAACATCTGGTTTTACAGTGGAAAAGCTTATATGCGGCTGTTCAACCTGTTGATGTAAATGTATTATACAGTAGATTCTAGCATGATGATTATGAGGTCTTATTTTCTTGTACACCAACCATGCATCTCTTGAAAAGATCCCAACTTGTCGGACCGAAGAGGCGAAATTCGGCGTGTTAAAACGAGGAGTCCTTGCGCTTTTCACCAGAAAGCCCTGAATCAGAGCGAGCGGCCAGACAGTGTTATAGCGGCTCTGCGCAAAAGGGGAGAGCGGAACCCATGACAGACGAGCAGGGAGAGACATGTTGCTACAGATAACTGGGTTTTTCTCCGGAGAAGCTCAAGAGGGTATTCGACAATGAAAGCAGTAATCCCCCTGAACTCAGCAACTGATCGGGAATTGCAGTTAATCGCGGAGGAGAGCCATGACCGCTCGCTAGCCATCGTTTAGTGGTCAAAACTCAAGATAGACCTCCCGTCAATGACTATTGTGGCAGAAAAGCCCCCACGGTGGAGACAGCCAGCGCTGCGCTTTCCTAAAACATGACCAGCGGTGCTTGGAAGTGTCGGCAGCGAGATGACGGCTTACAAATTTGGTGTGCTCCCCGCGAGAACGAGAAGCCATTCACCGACTCCGAGAGGGCCCAGCGATGGCGATTGTCCTTAGCGTCCCTCTTATTTCTAACCGTTCTACTTTCTGATCATCTGTGGTTCTGCGCCGAGGCCAAACTGACAAGGACCCGAGACAAGTTAGCATCAATGGACATGAGCGTAAACCACAGACCCGACCTCCCTTCAACACACAGCAGCCTCAGAAGAAACGAAGATGCTATTTTTGTAGTCAATTCTACCAAACCTTTGTGGCAACTAGAAACTTGCCTCCCGGATAGTTTGTCTGAATACTGCTTCACTTTTGTCGACGCTGACCACTTGTGCAGGGGCCTTTCGGAAACGGAGGGGACTCGGTGGTTGAACATAAGCGATTTGTACCTTTCCTTTTGTAATTCGTACTCTCTTATGGATTTGCTTTACGGATCATTAAGTCCGGACAATTTGAACTGCAGCCTTGACGCGATCATGGACGGCGACCAAAACAGATGCAGTGAGTGCGTTCAGGCATACCAGCGTTATGACCTGCACGCGCAGGAAAAATATGAGGAATTTGAGATGATGGCAGACAAATACGAGACGGATGTGTACTCAGTACGGACGTGCATGGAAGAATGTAAGGTAAGGTTGTATTATCTGGATCTCGCTTTTCCTTGAATAGAGTTGGGTGTTCGTTCTCAGTTGTCATGGTAACTGGTGACAGTAACATGGTGATGTTTTAGAGGGGGAAAAGTGCTTTTCATATTGTACATTTTTTCCGCATTTCGCATCAGTTGGAAAAGCCACTTTACATTTTGAGGGGGATGGCAGACAGGCATTTAAACTTTTCCCTTCCTCGTGCCTCCATTTATTCAATGCTGCGCAGCGTGATCAACGCAAAATCTATGGTTTTGGTTTAATCTTACGAAGGAAATGTCGCTGCTGATCCAAGGTTACTGTGTCAATGCACACAACGCTGCAAAGCCAATCTTTCAACGTGTGTGCGTCATTCTACAGCGCGCAGGTGCCCGCGCGGCGTCTCTCTGAACTGAATATAGAGCTGCTCCGCCAGGTGTTCATTCACGTCCACCGAGTACATTTCAATAACGCTAATAGTGCACCGGTGCTTTCTCAGATAATCTATCACAAGAGTCTTTTCCCTCGCTCAATGGTCTTGTTTGCACAGCACTCTGCGCGCGCTGCAACAGGGTGCCCTCTTAACCGCCATAAACTTGACATTTAGGTTAATTTTCGAGCTCCCGCTGTCATCTTAAATTGATTAGGCTACTCCTGGGCGACGAAAAAATGGCACAGTGTTTAGCTCCCGTGTACTGATAAGGAAGCGATCTTACCATATTCTTTACGTTTGTGTTGCTGCGTGTAATTAATGTTCAAATATTTACCGAGAGCTTGTAAATCTTTCGTTTAAATGGAGGCACCGATAAGCTGGCGAATAAGTGGGTGGCGTGTTTTGCTTATTCACTGGTTCATTTGGCAAAGGACTCGATTCTTGCTCACAGCACCGACGCGCCTGAAGTCTGTGTTGTTGGGCTGTTCGCTGTCCGTGGTGCTGAAACACGCTTAGTCGTGTTACTGACCAACTATAATAATGGTGACATGCCTTTTGATGCAGGGCAGGGGACATATTTAATTGTTACATGAGCAGTTTGAATTTTTCTACATCATTATGCCAATGAAGATTATGACAATAGACGTTTTTATCTGTAATAGCTGCTGCTCTCCTACAAAAGTAATTCACTTCTGTATTTCCAAAGTTGCTCATGAAATTATGATAAAGAATTTGTGGGCTATTTTCAACCAATACAACAACAATAATAATATTATTAATAATGTAATCTGTATCAAATCAATTTGATAAAGGCTGACAGAGAGGCTGTCTGCTAATTGCAACATTTGAACACCTGTGTGTACAGTTTCTTTTCCTAATTTTTTTTTTTTTTAGTAAATTTCTCACTAAAGTGACAGCCACATAATTGATATTCAGAAATGTCCCACATGAATAATCTCTCTGCAACAGCCTCTATACAGAACAATTATTTCTATAAAATGCTTGCAAAGTATTTGTTGAGTATATACATTCTGGCCAGTAACCACAAATTAGTCTTTTGTTTTGCATTGTTTTTTCTTCTGTGCACCTAAGTGTTCATCATTTCTGGCCTGGCTGAAGATATTGAGTCATTATAAGGCATTTATTTTGTGTCTTTGTAGTGCATTTATGTTGAATGCATTTTAAACAAATCAATGATTTTTGAAATGAAAATGATGCATGAAATGTGGTAGAATATTTTGCCTGTTGGATTTCTCACACTCAGACAACAGACATTTTTAAGCGTTAACATAACTGTCGAACCACGTTACCGAAGCCTGATAAACTACTAGCGAGTGTGAATGAAGGCCGTAATCCAGAGGGAGGTGGCAGGAGTCAGTAAGAGCCTCTGGCAAGCAGCTGCAAGGGATAGCCAGTCCCAGCTGTGATTAAGCGGCGAGATATAGAGACAGAAAGCAAGACAGAGCGAGACTGAGAGGATGGATAATCACTGTGACACGGCGTCTCTGACAGCCGGATCAGCCTTCAGGTTGATTTAATTCGGCATCTTCCTTGCACTGCATTGGAGTGTGGGAGACACTGTTGCATTTGTCTGTGTGTATATGTTTGTATTGTGTGTAAATGTGCTAAATAATCAGTAAAATTGACATTATAAATAGGTAAGAAACAAATGAATGGAAAGAGGGGGGTAGTGATTAGAGAAATAAACTAAGAAGGTTTTACTCAATAGTGTGCTATTCTTAGCTACTGTATTGAGCTCTGCACAGTTGCACTAATGTTACAGCTAGGCTGTTCTGAGACAAAGCATTCACATCACTGATAACATGGACAACATTTAGTGTCCCGAAGAACAAAAGTTGACTTTTTTTCCACTAAAGTGTGTTCACTTAGTGTTCACTCCTATTCAATTAATCATTAAAAATGTTAAGTACGAGAAGTTCGCTTTACTTGCCTTGACTTTTCCATGCACTGTGATTCAAAATAATTGGATACTAGGAGTTAACATCTGCTGTTTCTTTCCATAGCGAGTTAAAAATGTTCTGTCCTCATTACATTTCAATTGGAAATGTGGATGAAAACCTCTTAATATAGTCTGTGAATATTTGATGTAGATCTTTGATTTTGTCTGATTGGCTCTTATGTGCAATGGAGGTGCCTCTGGTATGGAATTGATCGCTATTTGGATGAAACCCTATTTTCTGAAAATAGATAAGACAAGTCTTACATTCATCTAAGAGCATAGATAGTGTTGGTACATTTGGCAGGGTTTGATCCCGCAAGGGTTTGGCACAATTGCTTGTTCATTTCCTCCAAGTTATCTCAGGTTTGGGACATGTCTTTATCACCCTTCTGTCTGTTTCACACACTTTTCTTTTCTCTCAACATTGCAATGCAATATAACCAGTCATATTGGTCTCTCCTCACACAGATTTCCACATTTCCCTTTGTGTATATCCTCTATCCAGTATTGCTGAATTAAATGAATAGTTCACCACTTCACCCAAAAAGTAATTAATCTCACTGTCATGTCGTTTACAAACACATCTGGCTTTCCTATTATTTTGAAGATATTTTAAAGAATGTTGGATGGAATCAAATGGCGACAACATTTAATTTTTTTAGGGTGGACTTATTCCTTTGCTATTCAGGGTGCTATTCTATAACTCATTTGTTTTAACCAACTGTAAGTGGATTCAGAATTTGCATGATACTAAGGAGTGGGATCGGAAAATCTGAAATGCAAATGTTACAAAACAGAAGCCCCTATGTTGTTATCATGTTTATGAAGGGATGTCCACCCCCCCGCTTTCCTTGTCTTTTTATTTTAGAAAAATCGCACAGTGCCCCTCTGTCTCATTAATGCTATCACTGCTCACTGTGCATGGAAGATCAACTGCACTCCTCTCTGTGTTATTTAAACAGGGCTTTTATTAGTGTTGGCCAACCGAAGATGACTATCAGAAAGACTGTTTCTAGGAGTGGTTTTCTTTATCCAAATCCTGGCATGAAACACTAAAACTGATATGAAACCAGAGTTACAGAGGACAGGCAAAACCTTGCTTTGTTGACGATTAAATTTGCCCATAGGTGAAAAATGCCACTTAGAGGATAATTATTTGTGCCCAATTATTTGTATTAGTGAATTAACCCTCCTTGAAAAATAAGTAGCAATTGTGTAATCTTACAGATAAGACAACTTTAGGTCAGAATCTGGTGTTGTTTTCAGTAGTCCTAGGTTCTGGTAAACTGAACCCTTTACTAAGACAATTAGACCCTGCCAACAACTTTCTGATCACATAACCTAATAATCAGGTGTTTATACTGCTCAAATCAGAATATAATATACCAGTCCACATTATTTTAAATAATAAAACAATTTATACATTAATGTTAAAGACAGACACATAATTTATTACATATCTGTTACTATTATACTACACATTTATCATTACCCTCAAAAACAAATTCCTTTTAGACTTTACATTTCTTTGATCTTTTGCAGTCAGGTCATTTTTTCAAAAATGTTTTTATTAAAATGTCCAGGATATTCAATCCCTCATTCCAACATGAATAAATCTGTACATTCTTCCTAAAAGAGAATGAAAAAAAATTGAAAAAAATTGAAAAAAATTCTGAGAGTAGAATTGAGGTGTAATTAGAGGTAAAATTAATAAGAAATAGAACACTAGGCATTTTAGCACATGCAATAAAGAAAGAAAGGGCGAAAGAGTGATTGTGACTGTGTGTGTTTTTAGTCTTTAAACTATGCACACAAATTGCCAGACACAAAGGATTCAGCAACTTCCGATTCATTTCAAGCTTTGCATAATCGGGCTCTTTTTTTAATCATCCTAATGGGTGGCGTCCAGCTTATCAGGTTGAATAGTTATCCCCCTTTCTATTGATACACCTCACCATGGTGTTTGCAACCTTTTGTCCATGGTCAAGTATAGTGTAGTATATTAATTAATATTATAGTATGATTTATATTTACCCCATCAATTCACATTATTTGAGCTCTTTAAATGTCATTGTGTACTGCATTAATAAATATGCCATTCAGATGAACTCATAGGATCAGACCTCCTGAAACTCCTATTCATTTAAATAAAGCAGCGGATTGGATGGGATTAGAGGGATGGGTGGAGCCAAGAGGTTGAAGCTGTGGCTAGGGTCAGGTCTCCATGGTAGCATTAGAATGCTGAGCATGTTTGCTTATTCATAAAAGCCTGCCGTGGGCTGCTGCAGCCTTCTAGTGAGGGACACAACCGCGACCAAGGTCAGTGTCCCAGAGTTCCATTACTTCACTGCCACTGCAAAGGGGTCCGTAATAATGTGCCAGACCAACACACACATGCTTACACCAATGGAGACATATTTTTTTAAAGATTATTTGCATAATTTTTAATAGATTTAGAAATAGATATTTACTCTAGTAACCCATGTTCCGTTGATAAAGTGTTTTCTTGAAATAAAGACACTGATTGTAGCACATGCTTGCAACTTGGGTCTCGTGATGAAGGTCAGAACACCTCTGTATGGGTCATCATTGCCTTTGAAGATAGGTTGCCAA